GTGGGGGCGCTGCCGGCGGAGGCCTCCCCCCTCCCGCCCCACGAAGGTTTAGGTTTCGCTTTCCCGCCGCCCGCGGTTTCGCTTTCCCGCCGCCGGCGGTTTCGCTTTCCTGGCGTCCCGGGCGCGCCCCCCTCCTCGCCCCCCGCGAGCGGCCGTCCCGTCGTGTCTCCGCAGGGTCCCGCCAGAGCCCTCGCGCCGCGTCTGGGCTCTGGCTCCACACCTGTGACTTCATGCGTGCGGCCGCTCGGATCCCGCACATTTGTGGTCACAGCACGGCCACCGCCGGCAAGAATCCCACGCCTTGGCGACGTCGTGGCCATCAGCCCTCCCCCCGCGTCTGTGGTCCCAACACCTTGACAACGGGGCCACGCCTGCGACATCTTCGGTGACACGCGGGGAGCCCTTGTCACCCGTGCCCAGCCCTCCCAGCACCGCCCCCCGCCCCCTCCGCCCAGGGCTCCGGAGGGAGTCATGGCCGCGGCTCCCGAAAGGTGAGCGCCTGTCCCACCGCCAGGGTGCGCGGCCACGCCACCCGGCCGGCCGCGCCCTGACCCCGCCGGCCCTCCGCCCGCAGGGGGCCCCCGCGCCCGCGCTTCGCGGACTGGCTTCTGGGGGAGGTCGGCAGCGGCCGCTACGAAGGCCTGCGGTGGCTGGACGCGGCCCGCACGCGCTTCCGCGTGCCTTGGAAGCACTTCGCGCGGAAGGACCTGGGCGAGGCCGACGCGCGCATCTTCAAGGTGGGCCTCCAGCCAGAAGGGAGGGCCGGCCCAGGCCCCGGCCCGCGCCCCCAAGCTCACACCTTCTTCCCCCTGACCCCAGGCCTGGGCCGTGGCCCGCGGCAGGTGGCCGCCCAGCAACAGCGGAAGTGACCAGCTGGCTTCCGAAGGCCCGCTCCGCGCCAGCTGGAAAACCAACTTCCGCTGTGCGCTGCACAGCACCCAGCGCTTTGTGATGCTGCAAGACAACTCGGGGGACCCCACCGACCCACATAAGGTGTACGCGCTCAGCTCCGCACTGGGGTGGAGAGGTGAGGAGCCCGCGGGAGGCAGGTCGTCCAGGGTGGAGCCACGGTGCCAGGACACGTTGGGACTTTGCACTGGGCAGATCTGTGGTTTCTGAAACTGGCCTGGAAGAGGCTGGAGCCCGGTTGGGGAGGGCGGGGAAAGCTTATGTGGCCTGCTGGCACTAGTGGGGGACGGGTCGGGGGCATCCACACCCAGTGTCCCAATTTCCGAGTCTCATCCCAGTTCTCCCTCAGAAGGCCCAGGCACTAACCAGGGGGACGAGAAGGCCCCGGAAGACGCCCGACCCTTAATGGTAAGGTTGCTCTGCCCTCCCGGCTCCCAGGTGGGGGTCTCCACTCCTCGATGGAGCCAGGAGATGCTTACGCTGGCCCTTCTCCTGCAGGGTGGGCTCCCTAGGCCGTGCCCGGCGGGAACTGCTGCTGAGAGGCAGGGGCCCAGGCTGAGCTCTGAGCTCTGTGCCCCCAGCTCCCCTTTGGGCCCCGCTGGCAATGCTGGGGACCTCTTGCTCCAGGCTCTGGAGCAGAGCTGCCTGGAGGACCATCTGCTGGAAGCTGCATGGGGGTTGGACCCTATCCCCCCGGAGGTCCCTGGTGAGACGCCGGGTTGGGTGGGAGTGCTGTGCCTTGCAGGGCCCCGTGCCAGGGGGAGGAGCAGGCAGGACCGCAGAGTCATTGTAGAGAAAGGGCAAGGGGGGGTGGGTAACCAGTAGAGACAGTGCCAGCCACAGCTGGGCCAGTACAGCTGCTTCCTCGGTCACCCTCCTCAGGCCCAGCGCTCCCCAACATGGTGCCATACCTGCCTAGGGCAGTGGAGACAGCCCCCAGCCCCCGGCCCCAGGCCCTGCAGCAGGCCCAGGTGACAGGTGAGAGGAGTCGGGCGCAGGGCGTGAAAGAGGGAGGGGCTGGGGGATCCGGTGCCAGCTTCCGCCTTCCTCCCCAGACGCAGGCCCGGCCCCAGCCCTGGAGCCCTGGCAGCCCCCACGGGAGGCGGCGCCTGGCATCCGGACGGCAGGTGAGGTCGTGGCCGGTCCCGGCCGCTCACAGATCGGGTCACAGGCAGAGCCCGGCCCGGGGGCCCTGGAGGTGACCATCATGTACAAGGGCCGCACAGTGCTGCAGGAGACTGTGGGGCGTCCGAGCTTCGTGTTTCTGTATGGGTCCCCCGGCCCAGCCGCCGAGGCCGCAGAGCCCCAGCACGTGGCCTTCCCGAGCCCGGCCGAGCTCCCGGACCAGAAGCAGCTTCACTACACAGAGAAGCTCTTGCAGCACGTGGCCCCCGGCCTGCAGCTGGAGCTCCGGGGGCCCAGGCTGTGGGCGCGGCGCCTGGGCAAATGCAAGGTCTACTGGGAGGTGGGCGGGCCCCTGGGCTCCGCCAGCCCCTCCACGCCCCCGTGCCTGCTGCAAAGGAACCAGGACACCCCCATCTTCGACTTCAGCGCCTTCTTCCGAGGTCAGTGATGCACCCGACGGGGGCGGGGGCCGCTGCCCTCCCCCGCCCCTCTCCTGCCCTCGTCCTGCTCACCACAGCCCCGCCCTACAGAGCTGGCAGAGTTCCGGGCTTGCCGGCGTCGGCGCTCCCCGCACTACACCATCTACCTGGGCTTTGGGCAGGACCTGTCGGCTGGGAGGCCCAAGGAGAAGAGCCTGGTCCTGGTGAAGGTGAGGCACGGGGTCCCGTGGGCGGGGCCGCAGGCAGCCCAGCCCGTCTGGCCTGACGACATCCTCCCTGCAGCTGGAGCCGTGGCTGTGCCGGGCGCAGCTGGAGTACGTGCAGCGAGAAGGCGTGTCCTCCCTGGACAGCAGCAGCCTCGGCCTCTGCCTGTCCAGCTGCAACAGCCTCTACGAGGCCCTGGAGCACTTCCTCATGGAGGTGGAACAGCCCGCCTAAGCGCCAGAGCCCTCTGCAGTCCAATAAAAGTAAACCAAGAAACCAGCGCTGGTGTCCTGAGCAGGGGCGGGCTGAGGGGTGGGGCCGGAACTCAAGAAGGGGCCCCCCAGACTTCGAGGCTCCCCGTGCGTGTCCCGGAAGGGAGGTGACCACCCCTCACCCGCCCACACACCCGTCCTTTTCTGTCTTCGTAATGAAGAAACAGGCCACACGCTTCAGAGCCAACAAACTCTACTCAGAATACAAAATGCTCTGGGGACAGCAGGTGTTTGCTCCTGCCAGGTGTGCTGGGGAGGGGGACGCGTGAATGGCCGACTCTGTGCCGTGTGCAGGGCTCTCCTGCCTTCCAGATCCACCAACGCTGTGCTCTGCCCCGTGGGAGGGAGCAAACCGCGTCATTTACAGAACATCAAACAGAAAACGTGGGAAGGGCCTTCCCTTAATAGGATAGAAAATAAAATGAGGCCATCTGTGAGCTGGGTCGGGGAGCCCCCCTGCATTCCCCCGGCCCCTCCTGATCCCAAAGGCTTCACCTTTCAAATACTGAGTCAATCAAGAAGTTTCTAAAGATAATCCATTTTTGATAAATTAGAACACCATGGAAACAGTGTGTATCTATAATATACATATAAAAAAGTCCAGTTTTGAACCGTGAGCAAGACAGGCGCACAGACCACGTGTGGTCACAGGAACCCTGAACACAGGAGTGATGGCTGTCTCCAGAGTTGTCTGCTCCTGCCTCTCCCAACAGAGTGGCTCGGGGATGGGGACTGGTGCCCCCTTGCTCTGTGCCCGGCTCAGCTCTCGGTGCCCTGGGGGGGTGCCTCCTCGCCGGCCTCAGCCCTCCTGTGTCTGCGCATGTGCCTGTACTTGTCCACGTAGGCCTTGACCAGGTTGGCCACCTTCACAGGGTTGATCTCCCCACTCTTGCTGTGGCATATCTGGGAGGCAGGGGGCGGTGGGGAGGCACAGTTTACTCAGATGTCCCCATAGTGATCATGGGCCCTCAGAGTCCACATCACAAGGGACAGAGCACAACCTGCCCACCTGCCTCCCACGACTGCTGGGGGTCCGTCTCCAAGCCCGAGTGGTGCAGCCAGTGGGCTCCAGATCTGAACCTGACACCCTGGGCCTGAGAACTGCCCACCTCCCGGGGTCCTGTCTTCCTCCCGGCTGCAAGCTCGGTGTGCTAACAACTACCCTCTGCCACTCAGCCTATTTAACGAGCGACAAGGATGCTGTTCCGTCCCCTCACACACACGGTCTACTCTTCCTGAGCACCTATGAGCTACGGTGATGGGACACAACCGGCCCCTGGTGGCCAGGTCACACCAATATTGCCCCAGGCCTGGCTGCACAACCCCGGGCTGGAGCACCTTCCGGAGCCCGCATCAGCGGGAGACAGCACAGACCCGCCCCCGGGGACACCTGACCAGGGTGCAGCGCCCACACCCACCTTCTGCACTGCCTTGCGGAGAATGTCCTTATACTCGTCCTTTGTCACCTCCCTCTTCTGATAGAAGGGCTTGATGGCCAGCTTCACCTCCTCCACCGCCCGCTCCTGCGTGTGCAGCTTCTTCATGTACTGAGAACAAGGACACCTGTGACCACCCGGGCCCGGGGGCACCCTTTAAGGAGAGGAGCCCGCCCCTGAGGAGGGAGGACGGACACTCACCTCCTCGGTTTTGGCCTTCTCCGCGGCAGGCCTGGGAGCAGCTGCTCTCTCCTCAGAGTTGCCAGCAACAGTGGCGTGGCCGGCTGGCTCTGAAGCCGTGGTCGGGGCAGTGGGCGCCGGGGCTGGGCTCTGTGCAACCCCACCGCTCGCCAGCGGGAGGCTCCCCTGCAGGATGAACTGGACCGTGGGCTGGCTGGCTGGCACGTAGGGCGGGAGACTCAAAGGGAGAGCTGGGGCGGTGGGCAGGTTGGGGGTATAAACCTGGGCAAAGATGCAGATCACTCAGCACAGATCTCAGGCTCCCGGCAGGAAGATCCCCGGCAGAGAGGGAAGTCCCTCAGCCCCAGCCCGGCACAGCCTGTGTGGCCCGGCACACGACCGCGTCCCTCCGGCCCAGGCACCTACCTGAGAGGGCTCGGCGTCCGGGAAGCCAGACTCTGCATGTGCATAGCCAGGGGCAGGCGGCTCAGAGAAGGATGCCTGCTGGAACACCACCGAGGGCCCCACGTCTTCTGTTTCCCAGGCCCCCTCCCGGGGCTTCTGAGGCCTGTGGAGCGGCGTTCCTGAGGACCAACACGGGAGGTGGGTGCTCTGTGGTTACCCCTGGGCCACAGGCTGCTTCCTGGCTGGGAAATTCCAGAAAAGCATCCCAGCAGCAAGGACCACGGGCCAGGCTGCAGCCATCTCCCTGCCCCATGGCCTACGCTACTGAAGTGACCAAAGAGGTCCATGTACCACCCAGGGAGAGAAGACCGCCCCCACATACTGGTGGCCGCTCCGGGCCACCCCCATCCTCACACGCTGCCCTGGCCACCCTGCCACCCTACTCACGCAGGCCTCGCTCCTCGGCAGGGACACCACTCTCCGCTTCCTGCAGGTTCCAGGTGACTCTCTTCACCAGGGCTTTCGCCCGCAGCAAGGGGGTCTGAGAGGCGCCTTCCTCCTTCCCCGCAGGCACCCCGACCCCAGCCTGGCTTCCCAGGGTGTCAGGCGCCGTGGCAGCCCCAGCAGCATCCTGCTGGAGCAAGGGTTTCTCTTGGGGGCCCTGTGCCTGGGGCAGGGGCTGCGCAGCCTCATCATCGTGGATCAGTGCCACCTCGCGTCTGATGACAGCCACCAGGGCAGGGTCCTGCTGCTGGCTGGCTGGGGGCACCACAGGATTGGGTGGGAAGTCTCGCTCTGGGGAGGAATCCGTGCTCTCTGGGGAGGGCGGAGAGCTCATGTCATCAAGCTGCAGGAAGAAAGCGTCACTTGAAAACTCCTCAAAGACGTGCCCGGCCTCGACGGAGTCCCCGTAATCAAGGTCCTCGGGTGGACACTCCGCGGGCACATCCGGGGCCTCCTTGTGGGCCTCGGCCCCTGCTGGAGAGGCGTCTGCTCCCACGGAGACCAGTGGCTTGGCCGGCTGCTCCCTGTCGGGCTTCTGCTCCTCCTGGGGAGGGGGCACCAACTTCCTCTCTGGAGAGCGAGGCCTCGGCCGCTTCTCATGGGAACGAGGCCGTTGATGCTCCCGGGACCTGTGCTCCGTGCTCGGCGACCGTGGAGACCCGGACTTGCGCTTCCTCCGCTCCCGGGAGCTCCACCTGACACGGGGGCGCTCCCGAGGGCTCCTCTCCCGGGGGCTCCGCTCCCTCGTGTGCCGGTGCCTCCGGGCCCTCTCCAGGCTGCTGGGGGGGGAGCACTCCCTCCCCCGAGACCTGGACCCCGACCGCCTCCGCTTCCTCCTCCTGCTCTCCCTGCGTTCATGGGAGGAGCTGCCGGGGCTGCCTGAGCGGGACCGGGACCGTGACCGCCGCCGGCCGCGTCCCCAAGAGTCCCTCCTCCTCCTCCTGCCCTCATCCTTCACCTTCTTCCGCTTGGCTCGCTCGTGGCTGCTGGAGTGGTCACTGGAGGACCTGCGGCCCCGGGCCTTGGGCTGCTGCCTCTTGGGGTGCCCTTCACCCACCGGTGGAGACACCGACCGTGAGCTCCTCTCCCCAGAGCGGGAGCCTGAGCGGGAGCCGGAGCGGGTCCTCCTGTGCTCCCTGGCCTCAGCCCGCTTCCTCTTGGCCTTCTTCCTGCCACGGGAGCTGGATGTGGAGCGGGAGCAGGAGGGGGGCCTCAGCTCCACAACCCTGTGGGTAGTTGTCTGCGGGGCGCCCGGGCTGGGTGGTGCCCCCGGCTCTACATCGGTCACGCAGGTCACCGTCCGCTCCTCGGAGCCAAAGAAGGTACTGCAGGGCAGCTGGTCCCTGTCCTCCCACGGCTCTGTGGGGGATGGCCTCTGTGCCCTGGAGGCCACGCCCTGGCCCTCGCGCTCCAGGTCGGAGGAACCCTCGGCAGCCCCCTCGCCCCGGAGCTCAAGCGCGCTGGCGGAGGACCCGCGAGGGGACTCAGGCTCCGTCCCAAAGACCTTTTCCACCGTGTAGGAGGTGACACAGCGCACGGTCTGCAACGCCGGCGCCTTTGGGCTGTTGATGGAGATGGTGCGCGTGATCTCAGAGGGCAGGAGGCCAGAGCCCAGGCGCTCGGGGCTGCTGCCGGCGGAACCAGAGTCCGAGCCTGTGGGGTCGAAGGGGTCGTAGATCTCGCTCTTGAGCTGCTTGGCCTTCCTGATGGAGAAGAGGGGAGCGGGGTTCTCTTTCCTCTGCACCTTATTGTCGACAGGCCGGAACGTGTTACAAAAGCCGGGGTTAGAGAGTCTGCCGGAATGTGCCGTGTTCCCGGGAATATTGATCCTGAAGCTCTCGAAGGTCGAGCTGACACCCTTCCCCTTTGAGGGTCCCAGCGTGGCGGGGGACTGGGATCCACCCCCTGAGTGTGTGCCAGGCTCTTGTGGGCCCCTGCTGCTGGGCTCGCCCTCTGCACGGGCGCCGTGGCTGGGCTGCCCGGGGCCCTCCCTGCCTGTGAGCCGGCTGATGCAGGAGCTGGGGATCTCAACACGCTGCTCGCTGGCGGGGGTCGCATCCGCCCGCCGGCCGCCACCGTCCTCCCTTCTGACCTTCGGTATCCTGGGTAGCTCTGAGATGCTGGGCCTCCTGGGAGCTGGCTTCACGGCCTGTCCCTGCAGCGCACTGGCACGCGGCAAGTGAGAGCAGCTGCCCGAGGTCTTAGAGGACACAGAACTAAGGGGCCGAGCGTGCCTGCTGTCTCCATCACATCCAGGGGCGTCACTGTGCTTTAAGCCAGGTCTGCTTACGTTTGACAGGTTCTGAGCCTGACCTGACGGAGGGGTCATGGAGGAGTCCAGTCTCACGGCTGCCGCTGGGGTGAGAGCGGGGACGCAGGAGGGGGTGGGACCGCCGTGGCAGTGCAGCCCCGCACTCTGGAGCCCGCTGCCTGAGCGTGGCGCTCCGGGCAGCAGGCAGGCCCCGGGGCCTCTGCCCCCTCGGGGTGGACCGCCTGAGCTTCTCGGAAAGGAAACGGGTGCTGAAAGACACGAGAGTGAGTGGCCATCAGTTTCCACTGCCTCCTTTAAAAAGCGGTCATTTTGTTGGTCCAGATCGAGATGACTTTCTCTTAGAAGCTGGGCTTTTAAATTCCTATCCCTACTCACTCCTTGGGCTAGAGTCCTGTATTCCTGGGGGCACGGGGTGAGAGGCCCCCGGCCACACCCACGAGCAGCGCTCACTGGCCGCTGGAAGCGCCTGTGCCTGTTACACAGGGAGGCCCGGGAGGGGCCGCCCGGCTCTGCGCTGCCGTGCCCTCATGGCTGGGCACCCTCAACCCCGAACACCCTCTAGGGCCCGGATGTGCAGGGGAGGGCTCCACAGCAGCCGGTTCCGTGGGCTCTGAGAGAACACACGCCAGCCACATGCCAGCCACGCAGGGTCTGTGGGCTGCCCGGAGACCCCACCATCATCTAAACTCAGCCTGCAAACTCTGTTCAGAAAGCGATGTTGACTTAACGGAAGCATGACCTCACGTAGAAAACTGCTTTTAGGTACGTTCTGAACAGAAACCTATTTTAGTTCAACGGTCTCGTCAGGACCCGTGGCTCACATGCCCCTCTCAACCGCCCCGAGCATCGAGGCAGAGAGGGCGCCCCCGCAGGCTCCACTGGGTGTCATGCAGAGGCCTCCTCACCTGCCTTCTTGGCACTGAGGGAGCCGTCCCGGTGGATGGTGATGTCTGCACCGTTCATCATCAGGAGGCTCTGGCCCGACAGGATGCTCCCCACTAGGTCTGGGACGGGGGCCTCGTCCACCTCTGGCTCGGGCGCCGCAGCAGGAACACTCCTCCTGCAGGTACAGACCCGTTGCTGCCTCCCCGTGCCCCCCTGCCCCCCCCCAGGTCCCAGCCCTGCCAGACCTCGGTGTGGGGAGGGCATGAGACACCCCTGCCCCCAGTAGCTCTGACAAAAGACAAGCAAGCAGGCTGCCTGGAGGTGAAATCCTCTGGTGCTTCTGGCCCCAACTGCTACCAACAGACAGGCTATTTACTGGTTTCATTGGTTTTTTGTTTTTGTTTTTTTTTTTTAATCAGGAGTGAAGTAGAAGGAAAGCACCCAGCCAGGGGTGGCCACCCTGGATAGCAGTCCCGTGACAGAGGTGGGCGGGCAGAAGCAGCCTCAAACACCTGCAGCCTTCCTCCTGCTCCTCGTGCCCTTTACGGTGGCACGTCCTCGACAAACGGTCAAGGGAGGGGCCCTGGGAGAGGA